AAAAAATGAAAGAGAGAGGAGAGAGAAGAGAAAGAGGAGAGAGAGAGGAGAGAGAGAGAGAGAGAGAGAGAGCATGAGAGGAGCAAGAACAAGAGATGAGAAAGAAAATTAAATAGAAGGGGCAGCTAGGTGGTGCGGTGGATAGAGCACCAGCCCTGGAGTCAGGAGGACCTGAGTTCAAATGTGGCCTCAGATATATAACACTAGCTGGGTGATCCTGGCAAGTCACTTAACCCCAATTAGCTCACCAAAAAAAAAAAAAAAGAGAAGGAGAGAGGAGACAGACAGAGGAGAAACATTTAACTCACCTGCCTTCACTTCATTTAAGATCTCTTCAGTCAGCATGCCCTCCATGCAGGGTACCAGGGACCCTTCAAACACAATTCCAAAAGGAGACTCAGCTGCTCTCAGTCTCTCCTCTCCCTCTCCCCCAGCCAAGCCCCCAGACCACAGCCTGCAACTCAGCCCTTTAAACAAGCACAGCTCAACCTCACCTTCACCCCCACCTCCCCACCATGGCAATGTCAGAATACGTGCAAAGGGAGGGAATCCCTGGGGTCCTACAGGTTCCCTTTCCTCTATAACAGCAACAACTAAAGACAGTGTCTGCTCTCGTGCCAATCCTCCAAGAGATGAGGCCTAGCTAAGGAAAAGGAAACCCCAGCCTGGGTTTCAGGAAAGCTGGATGAGTGCCAACTTCATCAATGACTGTATGAATTTGAGCAAAACCCATCACCTCTATGGGCTTCAATTTCTTCTTCTGTAAAATGGGCTAATAACTAGTTGCTTTGCTTATCCCACTGGGGCAGTGCAAGGATCATTGAGAAGAGAAATGTAAAATGAAAGCTCTTTGAAAACCTTTAAGCACTACCCATGTGTGGGGATAGAGAGCTGGCTCTGGGATTTCCCTGGTATGAGGGGGGACTCCACCCTCACAGGTCTGCAATGGACAGTCTTAAAGAGCTTCCCCAGGGCTGAGAATGGAAGTGACTCATCCAGGGTCACATAGCCAGGATGGGTCAGAGATTGGACTTGATCCAGGCTTTCCTGACTCCCAGGTCAGCTCTCTATTAAATATACTACACTGGGATTATTACTGGTGTTGTTGTTATCTGGCCCCCAAGTCTGTGGTAGGAAGGATGTAAATAATTACTCTCACTCTTCTAGGGATTATAGATCTCCAGTTGGAAGGGACCTTAGAGGCTATTGATTGAAACCCTCATTTTACAGATGGGGAAACTGAGACCCAGGGAGATTGATTGACCTGCCCTAGGTCACAAGTTAGTGAGTGTCTGAGGTGAGATGTTTCCCAGTGGCCTCTGGGGCAGCTAAGAGAGACGAAGGAATATGTTCATCTGCAGACAAATTGTAGTTTATAGGGGAGAATGGGAAGTAATACAATGATCTAACATAGGGTTCTCGCCCTTGGCCTCCTCCTTGAAGCTTATCTTGTGATGGGCCCCATTCAATCCAAAGTGAACCCACCTCCAGCCCCGCCACCAGAGATACCAAGGCAAGGTTAGAGTTTACCTATAAAGGTGACTGCACTCCTCCGGAGAGCAGCCCGAGGGCTTTTGGTATATTCCAGGCTCTGGGTCAGGAACACTACGGCACTGTCACGGTGGGTGTTCACCTAGGCCAAAACCCCCCCAGTATACCATCTGCCAACTGAGAAATGACCCCGTGGAATTCTCTGTGTTCCCCACCCCCAAGCCAGATTTTTTAGTTACTATCCCCTACCCTAACATCTGGAAGAGAGCTGAGCCTAGGTTATCCTCTCTGATGTCCCATAAAAATCATAGCAATAGAGGCCAAGGAGTCTCTACTACTTAGCCAAGCCTCAGTCTTCTGCTCTGCAGAATAGGGACAAGCATCTCAGTGTAGTGAGACAGATCACAGAATACCTTCTGAATCTTGGTTCCCCTATATCTTGGGACTATAGCCTTTAAGTACGTCCCTTTCTCCTCTCTGACCCTCCATTTCCCCATCTATACAATGGAGTAATAACACCCAACCTATAGATCTCACAACAGATTATGGTTTAAATGAGATAACGAATACATTTTAAAAACTTTAAAATGCAATAGAAATGTGGATTGCCAGCCCCTGTGCTCCACTGGAATCCATGCAACTCAAAAGCCCAGGTCATCGTGGGTGGGCCCTTCGAGGTGAATTTGTGGGAAGATGGGAGAGGTTCATGGGATGGATAGGAGAGGGTGGGGACACTATCAGCATCTTTGGAGGGAAGTTCCAAGGTTCCACTGGAGTGGTGAGTCTTGTTACCTGCCTTGGGGAGGTTTGAGATCACGTCTTCCTCCAATCCTCCTACGTTTCACATCACACAGTGACAGATTGTGAGTTGATATTATGGGAAGGACCAGAAACAAGGTCTGCTCAGAAATGAACTGGTAGAAGAGGACTCTCTGGGGCTCTGGAGCCAGGGCATCGGGGCATCTAGTCAACAGACATAGAGCCTTGCAACAAAGAACGCTAAAATTTGGGGCGTCTGAGCTGGGGGCATCTTCAGCTGACATAATAGTAGCATTCACGCAGCACATTAAGGTTTGCAAAGTGCTCTACATGTTATCTCATTAGAGCCTTAAGACCTCCATTGAGGCAGGTGCTATTATTAATCACTATTTTGTGGCAGAGATTAAGTGACTTGGTCAGGGTCACATAGCTATTAAGTGTCTGGAGTTAGATTTGAACTCGAGTTTTCCTGACTCCAAATCCAGTGTTCTCCATCCTCTTATGCATCAGAATGAAGAACGTCAGAGCTGGAAGAACCTTAGAAGAGAGAATGTTAGCAGTAAAAGGAATCTTAGAGCATAGAATACTACAACTGAGAGGAACCACAGTTTGCATCTAATTCTCCTTAGCTAAAAGAAAATGCAGTATATTTGGATTTAGATCTGTCATTGAACCGATAGAATTTTCCAGCTGACTGTCAGAGGCAGAGTCCAGCAGCAAATACTGTTACTTTGACCCAAAGTCAGGAACTTGCAGACTTTGGACCAAGGGAGACAGTGATCACACTTTGCCCTAGAGCAAAGCGCTGAAAGTTTACAGGTCCCCAGCTGAGCTGCCCGTGAGATGCGGGAACAAAGTAACACTCAATACCACAAGAAAAGCAGCAGCGGGGCCAGCCCAGACACAGGGCTTTGCCCCAGAATAAAATCTAAAGCCATAAAGTAGGCTGGGAGAATAAGCAAGCAAATAAATAATTCCATCCTAAAAAATCTGTTATGGTAATAGATATATTCAATATGCAAGCCTAGAGGAAGAGGATGACTCCAGAGCATTTATGAGCAAAGCCTCAAATTAAAACATAGCCCGGGCTTGCGTTTAAATAGAATAGAATTGCTGAAGAGATGAAGCAAGAATTTTTAAAAGAGGTTTTTTAAAATTTATAAATTAATTGAGAGCACTAGGGAAAATTTTAGAAAAGAAATGAGAACTGTAGAAGAAAGATTTGGAAAGGAAATTAACAGCTTGTCACAATAGGCACAAAACGTTGTCCAAGGAACAAACTCCCCGAATATTAGAATGGAAGAACATTAGAAGTCAATGACTCCATGAGACAATATGAAATATTAAAACAAAGCCAAAAGAGACCAAAAAATGAAGGAAATGTAAAGTATTTAATTGCAAAAACAACTGACTTGGAAATAGATCAAAGAGAAGAAGTGTAAGAATCATTAAACTACCTGAAAGCCAAAACCAAAAAAAAGAGCCTACACACATTTCAAGAAATCACAAAAGAAAGCTGCCCAGATCTCTTAGAATCAGAGAGCAAAGTAGAAATAGAAAGAATCCATCTATCGCCTCCTGAAAGAAACTCCCAAATGAAAACTCCCAGGAACATCATAGCCAAAATCCAGAGTTCTCAGATCCAATAAAAAAGATTGCAGGCAATCAGAAAGAAAGAATTCAAGTACTGAGGAGCCACAGTCAGGATCACACACAATTTAGCAGCCATCAAAATGAAGAAGTGGAGAGCTTGGAATATGATATTCCAAAAGGCAAAGAATATAAGCTTACAGGCCAAGAATAACTCACCCAGCAAAACTGAGATATCACACAAAGGTAAAAAAATGGATCTTTAATGAAATAGAGGTCTTGCAAGCATTCCTGACAAAAATATTAGAGTTGTATAGAAACTTTGAATTCCAACACACAAGTCAAAGGGAAACATAAAAAGGTAAAAATGAATGAATAATCATAAGGAACTTAATAAGGATAAATTGTTTACATTCAAATATGGGGAGATTATACACGTGTCCCTTTGAACCTTAACATCATCAGAAGGTCACAGAAGGAGTTTAATTAGACAGCGGGCCTGGGAGTGGTTCTGTTATGGCTTGGTGATCTTAAAAGAAGAATGGATAGACAGGAAAAGAGGAATATAGTAAAGGAAATTATCTCACATAATTGCAGGTATGTATACACATACATGTATACATATATGCACACATAGATGAGATTTAATTACTTAATTTAAGTAAGGTTTTAAACTAGGCAGTTGTATTTAAATGCTTTCCAAGGTCTCTTCTAAGCAATTCTAAGATCGTAGCATTTTCAGTCTCTTTTCTTGACAGGGCCTCAGTTTCTTGTTCTAGAAAATGGGAGAGCTTAACTAGGTCCTTCTTGACCCTTGCCAGTGGGCAGTGACTCTTTCCGTCTCTGCCTTCACTTAGCACAATGTTTGCTCTTCTCTACTGCTCTTACCATGGAATATTGCGTGTGACATTAGGCATTTGCATATACTATGCCATTTGAAGCTTTTACAAGTATAGACTGCATTAAGACTTTTGGGATACCCTGTAATTGTATATATTAATATTTTACTGGAGTTGTCACATGACTGAGTTATGGAACATGATGGTCTCAGAAGAATTAAAAGGGAGGATCCCCCAAAGGCTCCAATGAGATAATATCTGTAAAGCACTTAGCGCAGTGCTTGACACATGGTAGACACTTAAAAAATGCTTATTCTCTTCTTCTCCTCTTTCCTCAGAGGGCAATGGGGATGCTGATGGTGCACAGTGTGGTCCAGCTACAACACCTAACAAAGAGGGAACTTGGAGAGACAGGGTGTCATTGAGGATTTCATTCAGTAAATGCTTGGCTGTCCCTTTCTGGTTTTATTTCCTATTACTGTATACACTCTCCCTTCCAATTATACTAGACTACTTAAGATTCTTGCAGATCTAGAACTGGGAGGGACCTTCTAGGTCATATTGTCAGCTCCCTCATTTACAGATGAGGCAACTGAGACTCAAAAGAGGAGTGACTTGCTCTCTGAGCCTGAAGTCCCATTTCTTACATCCGCATCTTTGTACAGATGTTCCACCATGTCTAGGGGAATGCAGTGCCTACTCTCCTCTGCCTTATATAATCCTTGCCTTCCTACAAGGCACCGTGCAGATGCCTGATCCCTGCCTCTGATTAATAACACTCTTTCCCTGTTGAAATTACTTTGCATTATTTTATACATATAATTTAATTTTCTGAATCTGTTGTTTCTGCCAAATAGAATGGAAACTCTTTGAAAGCAGGGACTTTTGCCTTTGTATTCCAGCACCCAACATAGAGCTTGGCAACATAAGAGGTGATTAATAAATGCTTACTGAGTTGCACTATCTCTCTTCCCCAGGGTAGCACTCACCAAGTACTTGCAGATTTTGGTCACCGTCTGCTGACTGATGTCCCATGGCTTTTTGTTATACACCATTTTTGGCAGGACCCAAGCCATGTGGTAGCAGCAAGAGGACAAGGTCTTCTTACATTTCTGCAGGTTGATTGGAAGGTGGTGGGATCAAGAGAATAACAGCCCATGTTTTTATAGAGCACTTTACTAAAGCCACCCCATGAGGGAGGAAGGAAGTGCATATGTATCTTTATCCTTCATTTTATAAATGAGGCAAAGAGAAAGGAGGTGGCTTCTCCAAACACATTCAACTAGTGAGCGGCAAAGCCAAGACTCAAAGCCAGGTGCTTGGACTCCATGCCCCTGCTGAACCCAAAGTGAGACCAGACCCAGAGTCACATGAATAGGAGGGTAATTTTTCCCTCCCAGAGCACCCTTTCACAGATCTTCCTTCAGTAGGAAGTTGGAGGGCCACTTGGTTTTGCATGGGGGCAGGACTAGAAGAAAGTTCCTTCCAACCTAGCGATTTTCTGTCTTACAGCGGGCTTGTATTAAATGAGACACACCTTCGTTGCAGGCTTGCTGAAAATGAGGTACACCCTCATCTCCCTCTCCTCTCACATTTACCTTTCTAGGGTCCCAGACACACAGACTCACCTTCCCCACGGCAGGGTTCCCCTCCTGAAGCTGCAGGATCAGAGGCACCAGGCAGTTCACCAACTGCTGCTCTGTGAGGGGCACGCAGGGGCTCCGCAGTAGCCGGACCACCTTACCAAAGAGGGTGATGGCCGTCAGACGCACCTCCTCCCTGTTCTGAAGCAGGAACCGCTGGGTCATGGACTGATTGGGTCGGGGTGTGTGCGTGCGGGGTGGGGCGAAGGGCAACCTTAGAATAGAGAATGTCAAAGCTCAAAAGGACTTTAGAGGTCACCAAGTCCCATTTTTACAAAGAAGGAAACCGAGGCCCACAAACAGAACATGACTCGCCGCAACCAAAAGCTTTCTGTGGCCTCTTGGGCCAGTGCCATGGTCACTTCCCCACGTCCACCCACCCTTCCCTTCCCTTTCCCTCTTTACTCTTACATCATTGAAGTGAGGCTGGAGAACCTGCAGGATTTCCAGGTAAGTGGTAATATCAGTTGACTTCTTATCCTGAGACTTCAGGATGGTCTTGACGTTGCTGACTGCCTCCACTGCCAGCAAGCCGTCAACCCGTTGCAGGCCCTTCATCATGGAGGGCAGAAGAGCCTGGACTTTGGCCCGCTGTGGGGAAGAAGGGAGAGGAGCGAGCCCTTGCCTGGGAGCCGAAGGACCCAGGTTGGAATCCTAGGTTGACTGTTCCCTCCTGAAATGCCTCTTTCTCCCTCTGCCCATAGCTCATTCCCACCCTTTTCTAGCTGGGCCACTTGGGAAAGCCACTTCCTCTCTCAGGGTTTCACTTCCCTCATTTGCAAAATGAAAGGGAGTTAGCCTAGATGGCTCTGAGGTCAGGAAGCCTTCCCCGACCACCCTGAACCATGCTGACCCGCGCCTTCCTGAATTCCTTTGACCTATACACTATGCAAGGCTTGCCCAGGCCTTAGCACGGATGGACTTGTTTTGGCTTGCTATCCGTGCCAACTCCCAACCAGACTAAGAGCTCCCTGAGGGCAGGGACCGTGCCTGATGCCCTTCTGTGTCCCCCAAACTAAGCCCAAAGTCTCACACATAATTGGTCTGTGTTTTGTGTCGAGAACGTTGATGATGCTAATGAAAAGTTAATCTCTTTAATCTTCAGTTTTCTCACCTGAAAAAGAGAGAAAGAGAGAAATCCTTGCCTGGAGTGTAAGTTAGTGCTTTGTATTCTGAATAGATCAGGGATCATTAAGGGTATTGGTTCCTAGGGCAGATGAGCTACCCGTTTTACAGACGCAGACATTGAAGTTCTGAACAGGGAAAGGTACTGAGCCCGAGGTCATGGGAAGGAGAGGGGGTGGATTCGCCAGCAAAAAGAACTCAGGAATCCCCCTGCCCAGGGAACCGCTCCCCTGTCCCCTCTGAATCCTGACAGTCACCACCTCCTCACCTCCTCCTGTAGCTCTCTCACCTTTTCTGACCTGTGGGCCAGAAGGACCAAGCCCCTGATACAGAGCACCTTCATGATGGGGTCTTCGTTGGTCAAGCCCCGGGACATTCGGCCCAGGGAGTACTCCTCTGGAATCCTCTTCACCTGCTCCATGCGAAGGAGCTGAGGAGATAATTGGACATTGCCCCTGGGGCTGGTGGCTGAGAGGGAGAGGGGAGGAAAAAGGAGAGGAAGAGGGAGAGGTAGAAAGAGAGGAAGAGGGAAGGGGGAGGGAGAGATGGAGACAGAGGGAAGGGGAAGGAGAGGGAGGGGGAGAGGGAAAGAGAAGAAAAGAGAGGCGGAGGGGGGGAAGTGGAGGGAATAGGAAGCCCCTCTGAGCATTCATTAGCATCACCAAGAAATTGCCTGATGATGATGATGATGATGAAAAATATGGCACTTTAAGGTTTACAAAGTGATTTCCTCACAACATCCCTGTGAGATAGGAAGTGCAAGTCTTTTATTCCCATTTTACAGATGAAAAGAAAGACTCAGAAAAGTAAAGTGATTCATCCAGGTTCAACCACTAGCCAGTATTGGGACCGAGTCTCTCACCCAGGATCATTGACTCGGAGTTCAAGGCCCTTCCTGTTACACCTTATATTTCTAGAGTGCTTTCATTCTGTAATGAACTATAAGCCCATGGCCCTGAGCACAAGCTTGTGTCCAGAATGGAACTGCTTCCCATTTGGGTCTTTTTTTCCCCTTTGGTGGAGGGCTTTGTGAGACCTTGAAAGATCTAAGTCAGAGTTTTCCAGAAGCTGTCAATAACCAGTCAATAAACATTCATTATTTATTAACACAATGCCTACTATGTGTCTGGTACTGGGCTAAGCAGCACAGCGCTGAGGTCCAGCCCAGCAGTGTAACTACCAGAGACACCGTGTCCTGCAGCAAGGGACCCATGTATCCAGTGGCCATGCCACATGGGAAAGTGACCTCGGTAAGGATGGGTATTTTGTAACAACTGGCTGAGTTTGAGCCCTCTCTCCCCTAGGACCATGGTGGCATCAGGGATAATTTGCCCCCTATTTAGGGGCAGGCAGAATGTGCTTTACTTCTGTACCTTTCCAGTAAATATCCCTTTCTAAAAGTGAATTAATGTTATTTGGTTAAATTGATACCGAGGTGTTAATCATGGGGTTAATCAATGATGTGGGAAAAGTGCTATGTATAACTGGTCCCCGATATTGGGGGCCTGAGCCAATGGCAATAGAAGGAACCACTGCCCCTCAGGATAGCCCTGATGTAACCGGCCACACTCTGGGGACCTGACATTATCATTATCACATATATATTTTTATATGTGTGTGGGTTGAGCAAGTAAGTACAGAGCTAATAGAGACTACGGGTTTTCTGAGGTCCCTTCCCTTCCGATAGTCAGTGGATCTAATAAGCATGGATCTTGGTCATTTTGGCTACCCGGGGGCTGTCTTCACCTCCTTCTTCATTTCCAGCTGTGTTCCTTAGAGGTGAGGTTTCTGAATAAGTGATTTAAATGCTTATTTACTCCAGGGCTTAATTCTGCTGTTCATACAGGGAACAGGTTTAAAACACTTCAGTTAATCAATGTTGATCAAATTACTTTCCCAAATATTGCTCATCTTCCTCCTCACTAGAAACTTCAGTCCCAGCTGACTATCATTCCTCATCTCTTCCACCTTTCTGGCTAAACTCCTGGAGAAAGCAGCTACAGCAGGTGTCTCCCCTTTTCCTCTCTCTCTCTCTCTCTCTCTCTCTCTCTCTCTCTCTCTCTCTCTCTCTCTCTCTCACCCTTGTGGAGGGATCATGACAAGAATTGTTCTCCCCATTTTTGAAAGAAGGAAAATGAGACTCAGCTAGGGAAGGCACTTGACCAAGGTCACACAGCAATTTAGAAATAGAATCTAACTAGAATCCAGGTCTCACCAATGGAACATCAGGCAGCTAGGTGGTGAAGTGGATAAAGTGCTGGGTCTAGAGTCAGGAGGACCTGAGTTCAAATCTGGTCTCAGATCCTTACTAGCTATATGACCTTGAGTGAATGATTTAACAGCTGTCTGTCTCAGTTTCCACAAATCATAAAATGGGGATAATAATAGCACCTACCTCTTGTTGTTATGATGAAGATAAAATGAGATATTTGTAAAGTGCTCAGCATAGAGCCTGGTATATACTAGGTACTTAATAAATGTTTATTCCCTCTCTTTCCCCTCATTTTAAAATGGAAGAAAGGAAGGAATAAGGAAAGGATAGAAGGAAGGGAACAAGGAGGAAAAGAAAATAGGGAAGGAAGGGGAGAGAGGAAAGGAAGGAGGAAGGATTTTGGGCTAGTCACTTCCTTTTTCTGGGTCTCTGTTTCCTCTATAAAATGGACTGGGTGATTAGACTGTGAGCTCCTCATAATCTCTTAAGCACTTTATAAGCCTCAAAGCACCATGGAAACTCAATTATTAAGTCCTATGACTTCTCTGAACCTCAGTTTCCTCATTCATTCGAACATTTATTAAGTACCTACTGTGTACTTAATACAAAGTTTAGATAAAATGCAGACCCTGCCTTCATGGAACTCATAGTCTAATAGGAGGAAAAGATACAAACATAGATTAGGACATTACCCTACATTATGTGACAAGTGACAAGACATCTGTGTCAATGGAGAGCATCTCCAAGCCAAAAAAATCACACATTTTCTAAGTAGCAAAGACATGATTTGGAAGGTGCCAAATAAAGGGGTCTAAGAAATATGAGGGGGTAGAAATTTTCTCATCCGCACATATAGGGTACTCCCAGATAAGGAAACTCCCCTCTACTAATGTCAAATCGCACCTCCTTTATAACTTATATTCTTATATAGTGTTGCCTACTCCCATGGGAGGTTAACTAATTTGCCACTTGGCTAATCACAAAGCCAGTAGGTGTCAGTGGCAGAATTTGAACCCAAGTCTTCTTGGCTTCAAGGCTGGATCTCTATCTACTAAGCCATACTAACTCTTATATAGATATATGTGTACATAGGTAGGTAGATAGATGGATGGATGGATGGATGGACAGATGGATGAAGGAGGAGGAAGAAAGAAATAGAGGAGTGTATGGATAGACAAATGGAGGAATGTATGTATGGATAGGTAGATGATAGATAGATGGATAGCTATAGGTAGCTAGATAGAGGGATGTGTCAATGATAGATGGATGATAGATGGAGGGATGGATGGATGGATAGATGGATGGATAGATAGGTAGATGAGGTAGATAGATACATACATAGAGATAGAAGTAGATGGATGGATGGATAGAGAGATGACAGATTGATATAGAAATAGACATACACATATCAGAGTTCTGGCTAATGGGCATACTCTGGGGATATAGCTCCATTGGCTGGGCCCCTATTTTACGTATAAAATTCATATGACTATATATAGATCAAGAATTACATTTATAACTATATAAACTCTATATGGCACATATGCGTACATGAGGTGGCATAGCACACATAAAACTCATATATGTGACTAACTACAGCAAACTCTATATTTCACACACACACACACACACACACACACACACACACAGAGACACGCATGCTCGGGGGAGATAATGTGGCATAATAGGTCTCTAGTCAGCCAGGAAGACCTGGGTTCAAGTCGGCCATGGCTTCATGACCCTGGACAAGTCACTGGGCTCCAGGAAGTTCTCTAAGACTCAATGATGCAGAAAAGGGGTTGAGCTGCAACTGGAAGTGGAGTTCCTCACTGGAGAATTCCCTATCCCAATGAAATCAGAGCTTCTGTCCCTATCCCTGTATAACTCTGTTTAAAGCATTATTCAAATGCGTTATCATATTAGTGTTATTCCTCAGCATTCAGCCTTCCCCCTGGTGCTATGAGTACTCCTTGCTTCCTTCCTTAAGCTCCGATGTCAGATGTTTTCCATCCTATTGGAGTCATTAGACTGTGAGCTCCTTTAGGGCAGGGTCTGTCTTTTGCCTTTTTTAATATCTCCAGCACTTAACTCAGCGCCTGGTATATAGTAGGTGCTTAATAAATACCTTTTGACCCTCTCATGGCCAAGGCCAGGGTTTACCTCCACGAAGAAGGCAGTGGCAGTGATCTTGTGTTGCTCATCCCCTCTTTCCAGGAGTGGAACCAGCAGATAAAGCACTCGACAGAGTTCTTGGCAGGAATAATGCACCATGGCCCTGGGGGTTACAAGGGAGGACACAGAGCAGGGGAGCTGCCTCAGCCAGGCAAAGTTCCTCATCATTAAAAGGGGATTTCCTCATCTGTAAAATGGCGGGCTGAACTTAGGGTGTCTACAATCCCTTCCATCTCTAAATCGCATGATTCCATGACCTTATAACCTCGTGGTTGTCCATCCTGCATCTTTTGCCAAATCAACCAAGGATCAACTCAAACACCATCTCCTCCAGGAAGCCTTTCATGGTTTCTGATTCTCTAAATTCCTGCCAGCCCTTCATCTGCTGTCTGATCATGTGCCCTTAGATGCGATTTTCTAATTCCTGTAACTGAGAATCTCAGAGCTGGAATGGACTCTGAGGTCACATGGAGGAATCGTCCTGTGCTCCTTTTCTTCTGCTACCAGATTGGGAAAAGGATCAGAGGTCCTGGGTTCAGATCCTGGCTTGGTCATTTACTACTTCTGTGACCCTTATGAAATCACTTGACCTCTACAGGGCTCATCTGTAAAGTGAGCGGGTTCACCAGATGACCTCCAAGATCCTTTCTGCATATATGATTCTACATTAATGTCCCTGACAGAAGGCATCGGACTTTAGCTTGGGTACTCTCCCAAGGACGCCACCTTCCACTTGAAGCTCTAATTGTTAAGTTTTCTAGGTGTTGGAGCTGAAATCTACCTCTCCACCCCTCCGTTTCCCCACAATCACTCCTGGTTCTGCCCTCAGGCACCCAACTCAACAAGGCTAATCCTCCTTCAGCCTAGAAAAGAGAAGTGAAGGGGAGGCTGGGGAAGGACCCAGCTGGCCTATTCAAAGATCTAAAGGGCTGTCAGGTATCAGCCTTATTCTGCTTGGCCCCAGAAGGCGGATCGAGGATAAATGGAGGGGAAGTTAGAAAGGCAGATTGAGTCAATCAACCAACAAGCATTTATTAAGGTCCCACTGTGTGCCAGGGACAGTGTTAGGCACATAGAATATTGATTCAAAGAATGAAACAATGAGCTGCTTTAGATGGGACGTCGGGAAGAGGCTTGCAGATAATGAGAACTGTCCAAAAGTGAATTGAGCTGCCTCCAGAACCCTAGTGAGCTCCCCATCAGTGGAAGTCTTCAAGGGAAGGGTAGAGTGATTGTGGGACATTCCTATTCGTTATCTTTGAGCCCTTTGAGGGAGATTTGATGATTCTGACTTGAGGGCACGACCTACACTCAAACACACACCCTACCTCCCAGTCTGGGGTGCTACCCACTGAACAACCCTGCAGTCCGTCTTTTAGGGAAAGCCTCTTAATGCCCACAGTCACACTAGGCACGGTCCTTAGCACTCGGGGTGCACAATACCGTGACTTCTGCCTTGTGGAATATCTGCCGGCCCAGGTACCCCACACCCCCTTGGCATAGCTCTTATTGTTAACAAAGATTTTTTTCTTTCCGTCCACCCCAAAGTTGCTTCTTTGAAAGTCACCCACTGCTCCTAGCAATGGGGTCAAGCAGAAGAAATCTAATCCTGTTTCCTTCTGAAAATCCTCCAAATATTTGAGTCAATCAATCAACAAGAATTTATCAGCCTTCTACTCTGTTGCTAGGGACTGAGGCAAGCAACAGAGAACAAAAGATAAAGCAAACAATGTGCTCATAGAACTTGTATTCAGATACTGAAGACAGATTTCACACCTCCCCCAGTCTCCTCTCCTCCAGGCTAAATACCCCTCAATTCTTTCAACTGAGGCTCCAGGGGTATAGTCCTCAGTCCTCTGCTGTCCTGGTGTGGCCAACCGCAGAAAGGTCAACAGCCCCTGGGTTACGACCTGGAGTTCAGGCAGTGTGGAGTATTGGGAAGGGCTCTGGTCTAGGAGTCAACAGACCTCAGATAGATGACCTTGCACAGGCCACTTCAGCTCACTGAGACTCAGTTTCCTCCTTTGTAAACAAAGGATAAAAATACTTATGAAAATACAAGGACTCTTGTGAAGAGAGTGCTTCGCATGCTGGAGAACGCTATAGGTACAGGAGACTTTAGTCCAGACCCTGGCTCTCCCTCTCAGCCCTTCATTCCCAGACCCACAGGCCCTGGAGTGGGGTCAGCTGGGGGCTTACCTGGCCAGCAGAGATACACCCCGGTGGTGATGCTCAGCCAGAACCATGAGCTCCCAGCCGCCTTGGTTCTCCAGCAGTGCAGCTTCATAAGAACAACCCATCTTCAACAAAAGAGTCTTGACCACCTTCACCACCCAGCTGGTAGGACAGCAGAAAGCTAGCATCAAACCTATCCTTACCCTACCCTGAGAAGTTAGGGCTGTCTATCCCCCCAAACACCCTCACCCCCATCAGGTCACCTTGGCTGTGTCCCTGGGCCCCAGAATGCCAATGGAGGGGACCCCTCGCCCCAGAACTGAAGGTCCCTTCATTTACCTGCAGTCTATTACACATGCTGTGTTAGGTACTGTAAGTCTCCATTAGGGGGTGTTAGTGCATTAAAAACAAGGTTTTGAAAAAAAATTAGCCTTGGAAACTCAAGAATAAACAGAAGCAAAATTTACTGTCCTTTTGAGACCTTCCTTTATCTTCCTTCTGACATCCTTTTGTCTAACCATCTATATTTATGGGATAAGAGCATTGTGATCTGTCCCTATGTAGAGGCTGTGCCCTAAAGTCTTGGGGCTAGTGGCAAAGCTGTGTCTTTTAGGCTAACCTACTCTCTCTTCCAACCACCCAGTTTTCTGGCTCCTGCATCACCTGGGATGAAACATTGGATTGTAGAGTGCTGCCTTTGAAATCAGGAAGACCTGAGTTCAAATCTCACTTCTGATGTTTAGTAGGTGCATGACCCCAGGCAAAGCATCTCATCTCTCTAAGCCTCAGGGTTGGATTTAGTAGCTCCTAAGGTACCTTATAGTTTTCCCATTTGGATTTAAACTCCAGAGACTTGATTTTGAGTCCTGACCACTCATTACTAGCTGTGTGACCTAAAGCTGGTCACTTCCCTTTTCTGAGAATATTTCCTCATCTGTAAGATGAGAAGTCCACCGATGGGGGCTCATGAGCTATACTGTTAGGGCTACCCCTAGACTCCGAGTGAGCAGTCATCCCCTCAGGACCTAACCCGTGTGAGTACTAATGGGATGCCACATTGTATTGCATGCTTACCAGTGCTGTTCTGGAAAAAAGATTTTGTAAATCTGACATGTGCTTATGAAAATGTGAATTACTTTAGTTGAAGCTCCCAGAAACAAATGAATCACATACAGCTGCTGACCTAGATTAAAAGCTCATCAAATCTCAGGGCTAGAAGGAACCTTGGTGGACATCTAGTCCAACCACACATGATTGGAGGAACCCTGCTTCTCTTGTCATTTCCCTCCGGGTGCCTTAGCCCAGATGGGTGGGGCCGGACATCCCAGGAAATTACCTTGCATCAGCCTCTCTACCTATCATCCATACACACTGCTAAGAAAAGGCATTAACTTGTGACTTAACGGTGAGAGGCAGCTAGCTAGGTAAGTGGGAATAATCATTAAGAGCTGACATTTAAGTAGTTGACGTAATGTTTGCAAAGTTTTTTATATACAGGTCTGCTACTTACTACCTGTGCAAGGTTGGGTAGGGGACTATAGCTTTCTTATCTATAAAATAATCTTATGTGGTCTCTAAAATCTTTTCCCATGCTCAGTCTCATGACCGGTTCTTGCCCTCCACTCCCCCGTCCCCAAATAACTTGGCCTTACCCTCAGGAATATATATTTTAGAAGTTTATGTTCACAGGAAGGAAGCGAAGAAGGAGCAGATTCACTAACTGTGCTTCTGTTTACCATTGTATTGCCAAATCTAATGGATGGTTTGTTGGAACTCAGGGTTGGTTGGTAACAGGAGTAGAGATTACCGGACAGGGATAAAGATGGAGCTTGGGCCATCCCTGAAGCTATAATTGTTGCTAGGCAAGTTCACGCCGATGTGGTAATGGACCTGGACCAAGAGGGCAAGGAGCAACTGGGGATAGATGCGCCTCACTCGGCCCATGCAGCTGTTGACAGAGAGGAGCTCACAAAGGCCGCTGGCTGCCTAGAGTAGGGGAAGGGAGAGAGGAGGAGGGAAGGAACATGGAGGCGAAGGTTATTTTTCACAGCAGCCAGCGATGGACCGCAGCTCTCCTCCTCCACGCCCCTTGTGAATACCCTGTCCCCCCTGGGGAGAGGCCAAGTCACTGAACAAAAGTTGTAATGGCTTCAGCCTTTCTCTATTAGGCCAAAGTGTGGGGCCCTGTGGGCCTCTGGGGAGGGCCCATCTACCCTCTGAGGGCAGCAAGGATGAGCCCAGCCTCCAGAGGCTCCAGAAGTGTCTCTCTCAGCTAAGGGCCTAGAGGAAGAGGCAAGCCACAAGGTTCTGAATTTTCTGCTCTCTTTGTCCAAAGACTCAGTACACTAAGCTGAATAGGGATGTAAACAACATTGGTGGATTGATACCAGTCCAACAAATGGGCCAAAAGATGTTGGGCAAGTCAGACAAAGTAAAGAAAGGAAGAATACACAAGCACAAGCAGTTGGGTACAGAAATACATTTCATTCAATAAGGAAAGGAGAGAAGGAGGGGAGGGAGAATGAGAGAGAGATTAGGCCTAAGCAAAACAATTTAACTAATGATATACAAAAACATGAGCTCTTTTGAGGGGAGAAAGAATGGGAAACTAGAGGAGGTGCCAGTGAGCTGGAGAATGAATGAACAAGTTATGGAAGATAAATATGATGGAATATTACTGAGTTGTAAGAAGTGATGAGGAGGGATGGTTTTATAGAAACCTGGGAAGACTTGTAGGAACTGATGCATAACGAAGTGTTTAGAACCAGAAGAACAGTTTGTGCAATGACAGCAATATGGTCAACACGAACTATTTTGAAAGAATTAGGAACTCTTATCAACACAATGATCAACCAAGATTCCACCGGACTAGTGATAAAAAAGACTACCGAGCTCCTGGTAGAGAGGGGAAGAAACTCAGAGGGCAGAACGAGATAAATATATTTTTTTTAACATGACCAATGTGGAAATTTGTTTTGATTTACTATATATTCTTTGTTTTTTTTTTTTTTAGTGAGGCAATCGGGTTTAAGTGACTTGCCAAGGTCACACAGCTAGTACATGTCAAGTGTTTGGTCTGAGGCCAGATTTGAACTCAGGTCCTCCTGACTTCAGGGCCGGTGCTCTATCCTATATATTCTTTGTAATGGAATTTGTTCTTCTTTCTCAAGTTGGAGGGGTGGGAGAGGGTGAGAAGGCAGATTTTTGCTGATTGAAAAAATTGGAAATATAATGTTAAAAAATTGAACAAGTCATAGATGAACTCACAAAGAAACAAACCCCAGGACCAGATGGATTTCTAAGCAAATTCTACCAAACATTTAAAGAATTAATTCCAATACTACACAAAATAAGGTTGACTGGAGAAATATCAACAATCTGATATATGCAGACGATATCATTCTGATGGCAGAAAGTGAAGAGAAATTAAGAAGTCTCTTGATGAAGGTGAAAGAGGAGAGTGTAAAAGCTGCCTTAAAGCTTAACATTTAAAAAACTAAGATCTTGGCAACTGGTCCCATCACCTCCTGGAAAATAGAGGAAAAAGAAATGGAATCTGTGTCAGATTTTAAATTTTTGGACTCAAAGATCACTGCAGATGGCGACTGCAGCCATGAAATTAAAAGATGCTTGCTCCTTGGAAGGAAAATTGTAGCAAATCTGGACAGCATACTGAAAAGCAGAGACATTACCTTGTGGACAAAGGTCTGTACAAACAAAGCCATCCATGGTTTTTCCAGTAGCGATGTATGATTGTGAGAGTTGGACCATAAGGAAAGCTGAGCACCATAGAGTTGTTGCTTTTGAATTGTGGTGCTAGCAAAGACTTTTGAGAGTCCCTTGGACAGAAAGGAGATCAAATCAGTCAATGCTTAAAGAAAGTAATTCAGGCTATTCACTGGAAGATCAAATACTGAAGCTGAAGCTTAAACACTATGGTCACATAATGAGAAGGTGAGACTCAGTGGAAAAGACCCTAATGTTGGGAAAGATTAAAGGCAAAAGGAAAAGGGGACAGCAGAGGATGAAATGGATAGACAGTGTCATGGAAGCAATGAACAAGAACTTAGACTTTGAGAGAGAGTGGAGGATAGAAGAGCCTGGTGTGCTGTGGTCCATGAGGTCATGAAGAGTCAGACACAATCGAATGACCACACCAACTACTACTACTACTACTACTACTACTACTACTACTACTACTACTACTACTACTATTACTACATAAATTGTTTGAGAAAGATAGGAAAATAAGGGGTTCTATTAAAGTCCTTCTATGACGCAAATATGATCTTGATATTTAAATGAAGGAGAGTCAAACCATAGAAAGAAAACTACAAATGAATATTGATGAAAATATTTAAATAAAATATTAGCAAGAAGCCTTCAGCAACATATCACAAAGATTATACACATAACTAGGCTAGATTTATATCAGGAATGCAGGACCAGTTCAATATTAGGAAAACTAAAAACATAATTGGCCATATTAATAACAAAACAATGAAATTATACCTATGGATACAGAAAAACTTTAGACAAAATACAGCACCCATTTTTATTAAAAAGCAGTGGAAAGCATAAGAATAAATGGACCTTTCCTTAAAATGATAAATAGTATCTACCTAAAACCAAGAACCAATGTTATCTGTAATGGAGATAAGCTAGAGGCCTTTGCAATAAGATCAGGACAAAGCAAGGATGTCCATGATCACTATTACTATTCAATATAGTCCCAGAAATGTTATCTTTAGCAATAAGAAAGAAAATAAACTTGAAGAAAAAAGCATAAGCCAAGAGGAAGCAAAATTATCACTTTTTTGTAGATGATAAAATGATTTACTTAGAGAACCCTACAGAATCAATTAAAAAACTAAGTGAAACAATGAACAACTTCAGCATTATTTCAGGATATAAACTAAACCTCCACAAATCATTGACATTTCTGTATATCACCAAGAAAATTCAGTTTGAAGAAATAGAAAGAGAAATTCCACTTAAAATAACTACAGATAATATAAAATACTTGGAAGTCTACCTGCTAAGACACACAAAAACTATGTAAACACCATTACAAAACCCTCTTTATACAAATACAGATCTAAGTAATTGAAGAAATATTAATTGCTCATGGGTAGGTCAAGCTAACATAATAAAAACAATAATACTGTCTGAATTTATTTACTTATTCAGGGCTACACCAATCAAATTACCAAAGGATTATTCATAAACTCAAAAGAGCTTATAAATATTTTTATCCATCATTAGAATAACAAAATTCATCTAGAGCAACAAAAGGTCATGAATATAAAAGGAATTAATGAAAAAAGTAGGAAGAAAGGGGGTCTAGCAGTATCAGATACCAAACTACAAACTACAAATTGCAACTGTCAAAACAATTTGGCACTATGTAAGAAATAAAGAGATTGATCAGTGGAATAGATTAGGTGCATGATATATAGAAGTAAATGAGTACAGTAACCTAGGGTTTGATAAACCCAAAGATCCCAGCTACCAGAACAAGAACTCACTATTCAATAAAAATCATTTGAAAAACTGGAAAGCAGCAGTCTGGCAGAAACTAGGTATAGACCAACACTTCACACCATATACCAAGACAAGCTATAAATAGGTACATGATTTAGACATAAAGACTGACTTCAATAAATTAGAGGATCATGGGAGAAATTACCAGTCAGTTCTACAGATGAGGAATGAGTCCATGACCACACAAGAGATAGAAAGGTCCACAGGAGGTAAAACTGGACAATTTTTATTACATAAAATAAAAAAGGTTTTTTTTTTCTCCACAAACAAAATCAATGCACCTAAAGTCAGAAGACAAGCAGGAAATTGGGGGTGGGGGAATCTTTGCAGTAAGTTTCTTTGATATAGGTCTCATTTCAACTACATATATATATGTATGTGTATATATATATATATAATGTATATATATGGAACTGATTAAAATTTGTAAGAACAAGAGCTATTCCCCAGTTGAAAAGTGATCAAAGGAGGAAATGAATAGGCAGTTTTCAGAGGAAGAGATCCAAGCTATCAAGAACCATACGAAAAAATAAGCTCTAAATCAACGGATAACTAGAAAGATGCAAATTAAAACAACTCTGAGGTACCACTTCACGTTAATCAGATTGGCAACATTAACAAAAAAGGAAAATGACAAATACTGAAGGGATTGTGGGAAAACAGGTACATTTATATGGCATTACCAGGAACAGATTCCTGTGATAGTCGCAACTAGCTAGCATATATATAACATTTTAAAAAGATTTTCCAAAGCACTTTAGAAATACTATCTCATTTGATCCTTATAACAACCTTCAGAGGTAGGTGTGATTTTTCATACCCATTTTACTGATTAGAAAACAGAGGTAAAGTAACTTGTCCAGGATCATACAGCTCGTAAGTGTCTGAGGCAGCTTTTGAATCCAGGGTACATCAAGAGTCCTGGTGGGAGGTGGGGAGGGGAGAGATACAGCTGGCCTAACTTTGGAAGAGGGAACCAGAGAAGACTTACTGCATGAGTAAGCATAGAATCAATGAAGGCTGGAAATGTAGGTAGGATAGATCCAGACTGTGGAAGGGAGAGTGACAAGTTTGAACTTCATTTGAGTTTTCAATAAAAATATTGCCCATGACAGAGTAGAGAACAGTCTTAGGTCGCTCTACTAGAGACCATATCATGAAGTACTTTTGATTTGAACCAATTGTCATCTCTGTCTGACTAGTAAATGTAAATACATTGATGGGGGCCCGTGAGATAAGTTTTTAAGTGAGTACAGACCTACAAAGTACCTTGAACCTCTTGTGACTTTGTCTGAGGTTATGACCCATCATGTAACCCATCAGGTGGATGTAGTGATAATGGAACCAACCAATTAATAAGCAAAAGGATGTAAGAGCAGAAGGAAATAATGAACAAAAGAATGTCTGAATGACCTAACAACGAGTGAACCAATGGACCATCAATTCATGTGATGTTAGTGCTGGAAGGGACCTTAGAATGGAGAAGGTCGGATCCTAGAACAAGGAATGTTAGAACCAGAAGGGACCTCGGAATGGA